GGCCTTCGAAGTGTGCACACTCAACTTTGGGACACAGCTTGTCCCTCACGTTCCTGAGTTTAGCCCAGAGAGGGCTCCTGTTCCCAAGTTAAGCCCAGAGGCTCACAAAAGCCCACCCACCCACATAAAATGAAAACTGCACATTTCATTTATCTATTATAACATGTAGTTTTGTTCACTTGGCTGTTTCCTTATAAAGGTCCAGAAATTGGTCGTTTTTCGTCGGGTGTATTTTTTAATTATATGATGTCATTATGTTGTTGTCTTGCCGGCAGCCAATCGCTACATTGCTGATCGTGGTTTCGAGTATCGATACATAGCCCCTTTTAAACCAATCCATGAACACGCACTTATCTCAGATAACTCAATCCAGCCATCAGCGGAGACTGCAAGACCTGAAGTGGGTGTGTCAGTTATAGGGAGACATAATGTGCAGTGCTTAGGGTACTTCATGGAGAGGTTTGAAAACCCCTGTATTAAACCATTTATGTAGTTTTGTTCGCTTGGCTGTTTCCTTATACAAGTCCAGAAGTTTGTCAAGTTTTTCGTCAGGTGTCTTTTTTAATAATGACGTCATTAGGTTGCTGTCTTGCCGCCAGCCAATCGCTGCATTGCTGATCGTGGTTTCGAGTATCGATACATCTGCCCTTTACTAGGAACACGAGAACTCGCAGTAATCTTAGACAACTTAATCCAGATATTTTTATCAAATCCACAAATTCGTTTGAAGAACCAAATTAGCCAGAGATCAGTTATCACGATTAGAAGATCTGGCATCTTTCAAATCATCTCAGATGTATTAGAGGGACGAAGAACGGCCCCAGGTGGTTCTGACTTAACCAGTCAGGTGAACACAAAACACAGGTAACTTATAAAGATAGTACTGTACTGATGTTATGAATTTGATTCATGTATTTTTAAGAACTTTTTTTCTGTGACTTGTACAACTCAACCTTATATCTCACATTTTGTATATGTTTTTTTGCTGTGTATATGGTATTCGCCCAATATTGTACAATATATATATTTCTTTACATCACTCAAATTTTTCATAGTTAACTCCGTTTAAATCAGGCTATCATTTTCATGTAACCATATTGTCTTTGGTGAGTCATTGGCTCTGATTTTGATGTGTTCTAGATTATTTTTGTTTAAATAAACATTCTGCAGTTGTGTTCAAAAACACCAACTTGCTTGAGAATCTGATACAATAATTTAAAAAAAATATCAGTTCTATACATTATATCATGTTAACAATTTAGTCTCCCAGTTAAAGGGGCAGTAAGTGATTTATGAGAAACCGCTGTTCACCAAAACAAACACGCCCCTACACAAAAGTATCACACCCCCAACTTGATAGCCCCACCCCCAAATTCACAAACTCACTATGCAACACCCTTTTACTGCTGATTGGCTGCGAGTGTGTTGTGTTGTTCCGTCTAATCCACTTTCAGCAGCGTTTCTCAGAAACATTGCAGCATTGAAGCATATATTTGAATTTAAAAGATAATTCAATCTTGATTTACTTTTATTTTCAAGTGTGTAAATGAGCCTTGTGAATTTTCTGTGAAAAAAGACTGTCAGTTTGAAAGATTCATCTAAGCGTGTTTTCACACCTGTAGATCGATTGCTTTGTTCCGAAACAGGGATTAAAATTATTACAGTGTTGCTTTTTATTCTTGGTGCGGTTCGCTTTCACACGGCAAAGTTTCTAAACGGACCAAATTTGTTAATACAAGTCACGCGCGAGTAAAATGTTCTCTCATTGGTCAAAGTTTCACGGTTTATTTTCCGGGATTCCACTAGCTGTCACTTTTAAAATGCACATACTAGAAAGAAGAGCAATAAGACGGCATTATAAAACAAAGTGATTTTTAATTTTTAAATGGCAAAGACGTGCTCACCCACAGACATTCACAGGTTCATTTTGAGGTATTAGCAAAACAACAAAGCTAATGCTTTTCACGGAACTTACGTAATTACCCATCATAAATTGTGATATAGCCTGGTTCGTTGGTCCGTTGGATCGGATTGCTTTCTCACTACAACCGAACCGCTCCAGAGTTCGTTTTCAATCGAGCCGAGACCACCTCGTTCAGGCGATCTCGGACCGATTGTTTTGGCGCGGATCCGGGCGCGATTGCCGTGTTCACATATGCCCAAACGAAGCAAGCTAAGGGGGGAAACGCGCCAGGTTCCCAAACAACGAGCCAGGTGTGAAAACACCCTAAGAGAACAAAAGTAAAGGAAGGTTGGGTTGGTGAGTCAGTTTGGATCAAATTTATTTGTATAGCACTTTTTACAATATTGAAAGCAGCTTCACAACAAATGCATGACTGCATCACAAACTGATGAAAAGATTTAAGACACTAGGACAAATCTAATGCTACAACGTTTATTAATATATTGACAGTTAGCACAGCTGAAGAACATACAGAAATGTCCCTTCTCACCACTGTTAATAAAACTCAAGTTGATGAAATAAAAATGATCAATAATAATAATAAATAATTTATCTAATGAATTATTACTCTCCCTACTGTATATCTGATAATCATTGCATATTATTTATCATCAAATGGCATGCAGAAACGACACTGCTGCTTGTGAGACCATTATTTATAATAGCAAAGCCTTATAAAAGGTAACCTGCCAGAGAAAGTCACCCCCCCACACACACACACACATACCTTTTTCTGTTAGAAATGCTTAGATACTCGTGTTCATGTGGTGAGAATTGTGTAAACTGACTGTGATGAGAACGATGAGCGTACTGTGTAAACTTTTAACTTTTAAACAACATTTAATAGATGTTCAAACTTGCTGCTGCTGTTGCTCCTGTTAACAGTGTTTTCACTGCTCCTGGTGCTACAAATGCTTTTGCTGCTGCTTTTCCTAATGCCACTACTGCTGGTCCTGCTGCTGCTAGTGCTACTCCTCCTGCGACTGTTAGTGCTGTTTTTCCAAAGTCTGTCACTTTTTGTTGAAAAGCTTCCCTTTCAATCTTTTCCTGGGCTTGTTTAAACATCGGTATGGTGTAGTGCTGTCCTCCATTGATCCCCACCATCCTGTCAGTCTTCTCCAGCAGTTCAGTGACCTGAGAGCGCTTCTCCATGTTCTTATTGTTGATG